TAAAAACCAAAAGAAGAAGAAGAAGAAGAAGAAGAAGAAGAAGAAGAAGAAGAAGAAGAAGAAGAAGAAGAAGAAGAAGAAGAAGAAGAAGTGGTGACTGATGAATGCTTAGTTCTCAACAGCACATCATTATCCATCCCTCCAAGGAACAGGGAATATTGTAAAAGAAGGCAGTCAGAGTTTGTAGGAACTAGAGGATGTAGAGAACACTGCAGAAACATGTCTGACATAGCCATTGCAATCATGACCACACATTAGCTGTGACTAACAGAACAAGACCTCTATCAAAATACATGAGAGGGTCTGTGGAGATGGCTCAGTGACCAACAACCACCTGTAATTCCAGTGCAGAGGACCCAATAGCCTCTTCTGGTGTCACTGTATGCACATGGTGCATATATATCTATATAGGAAAAACACCTATAAACATAAGCAACACATGAAAATAGGAAAGGGACCATTTACTACAAAGCAGAAGGTGTGCAGGTATAGAAAAGCATAAGAAAGCTATCAGTTGGTAAATGTGATCATATTCCATTGTACAAATGCATGAAATTGTCAACTTATTATTGAAAATAGATTTTTTTCATGTAACATATCTTAACTATGGTTTTTCCTCTCTCTTCTTCTCTCAGTTCCTTCACAAGTCCCTTCCCATTAGATTCAATCTCTTTCTGTCTCTCCTTAGGGGGGAAAGCAGGCATCTAAGAAAAAGTAATATAATAGATAAAACAAAATGTACAAATACAAATCAAAATAAGAATAAACAACAGAGTAATAGAATCCAAGAAAGGCATAAAAAAACTGAGAGAGAGAGAGAGAGAGAACAGAGAGAGACAGAGAGAGAGAGAGAACCACTTGTCCTTTGCACATTCAGGAATCCCATAAAAACACAAAATCAGAAGCTATAATATGTATGCAAAAGATCTGTACTGTAAAATAAATAAATAAAAAATAAATAAATAAATAAATAAATAAATAAAATTTAAAAGAAAAAGCTTTTTAAAATGTCCCTAACATTTTTATGAGACAAAGGACCTCTGAAGATGGCATTGAGTCATTTCCGTTGACCATTTTCTACTGTGCATGTAGCCTACCCTTGAGAGTAGTTAGTTTTCCCAGTGAGACTCATTTGGAGAAGACTAAATTTCCATTATCAAGTGGTTATCAATTGAAGATAACTTCTGGGTTAAGGATGGGGCCATGTTTCCACCTGTCCTGTTAGCTCTAATATCCCATCTGAGGCAGACCTGTGTGTGCTGCCTCAGTTTCTGTGAGTTCTGTGAGTTCATAGGAGTCTTGATTATTTTAATGTAGAGGTCACTGTTTTCTTGGTGTCCTCCATTCCCTCTAGGTCTTACACTGATGCCTGAGAAGAGATACGTGATGGAGACATCTTGTTCAGGACTAAGGGTTCCAAGGTCTCTCACTCTGTGCATATTAACTGACTGTGGGTATCTGTATTTGTTCTCATCGGCTACTTCTCTGACAATGGCCGAGCAACGCCCTGATCTATGAGTGTAAAAGAGTGCTATTTGCATTCATTGCATTGCTAGCTTCCTTTAGTAGATAAATAGTATTTAGCTCTACATCCTGGGCTATCTAATTTCAGGTTCTTGGTCACTCAAGCACTGTCATGGAAAAATTGGTCAATGGTCCTTCGGTTTCTATCTTGTGGAGCAATTAGAGGAATATTGGCATTAAGTCTTTGAATGTTTGGTAGAATTCTGCATTAACACTTGCTACCTCTGGTTTGTTATTTTGCTGGGTGATGGTGGAAGACTAGTAACTGCTTCTAGTTACCTGTATCTATAGGTCTGTTGACATGCTTTTCTGATCTTGTTTAACTTTGGTAGAAAGCATGTATCTAGAAACTTAGCCTTTTCTTTTTGATTTTCCAATTTTGTGGAGCAGAGGATTTTAAAGCATGACCTTATGATTCTCTGTATTTCTTTGTTATCTATTGTTCTGTCCCCATTTCCATGTCTAATTTTGATTATTTGGGTTTGCTCTCTGCCTATTAGAAAGTTGCTATGAATTTCTAGGCTTTCTTTTGTTTCGGTTGTTGATGATATCCAGATTTAATCTGTAGTGATCCTATAGGATTTGGGGTTTTTTGTTTCAATTTCCTTCTATTTTTTGAAACTTGTTTCATGTCCATGGTTCAGAACACGGTCCAGGAATGGAGTCATATGAGGAGAACTCTGAAGGCTAGTGAGAACACAACAAGAAAAACAAGAGTCTTGTGTTTTCAGTTTCTTCAAAACACTGAATTGTTCTTGGACTGTGTTTTCATGCTCCTCCTGTGTGTAGTGGATAGGAGCAAGTTCATTTCAGATTACTCATTGTTGCTGTTATTCAATTAAACGCTTAAATCATCCTATATACCTGTATGGAAACATATGTTTTTGCTATGTCTTGTCTTTGTGATTGTATAAAGCTTGAAATCACAAATACTTTACTCATGAGACATATCGTAACCCCCAGAGTATGATTGTCTGAGGTTCTGCTTGAATTTGTCTACAGCATAAGCCTTTAGTCTGACTCATACATTGGTTTCATTCTCCCAGGTCCTATTGCCTTCAGAGCAGTGACATCCATGTGTGTGTTCAGTTTTCAAGAAAGTTCCATGAGCTGCTGAATTTTTGTGTTTTGGAGTTTGTGTTTGATTGAAATGTTCTGTAAATTATCTGTTAGATACATTTAGTTTATAACATTATTAAGCTCCAACTTTTCTGTGGTTAGTTTCATGTTTATTGGTAAGAGTGTAGTATCAAAGATTTCCACTACCAGTGTGTGAGGATTGATATGTGTTTTAAGCTGTAGCAGTGCTTCTATGAATGTCTGTGCCATTTTATTTGATGCACAAATGTTAAAAATTGTAGTATTGTCTTGGTAGATTTTGACTTTGCTGAGTATGTAGTGACCTTTTCTATAGCTTCTGATTTGTTTTTGTGATCAGTTTTTCATGGGTTAAAATAGCTACACTGACTTCCTTTATAGGTCCATTGCCTTGGAATATTTTTCTGTCATTTTACCCTGAAATAATGTCTATCTTTGAAATTAAGGTATATTTCTTGGGTGCAGCAGAAGGATAGATCCTGTTTTCTTCTGTTCTGTAAATCTGTGTCATTTTTTTTTCAATTGAAGAATTCATATTATTGATGTTGAGAGATGTCAATGATCAGTGCTTGTTAATTCCAGTTATTTTGTTTTGGGAGTGCTTTATTTTTATTTTATTATTTTGATTCATTGTTTGAATATTTTCCTTCTAGTGCCTTCTATATGTCTGGATTTGCATACAGATGCAGCTTAAATTTGTTTTTATCAAGGAATATCTTTCTTCATCTATTACGATTGGAAGTTTTGCTGGGTATAATAGTCTAGTCTGGCACCTTTGTTGCTTACAGTTTATATGACATCTCTCCAGGCCTTCTGGCTTTTAGAGTTTCCACTGAAACTTCAGGTGTTATTTTTAATATGTCATCTTTTGATATTTTATTTGGATTTTTTTCCTTGTAGATTTTTGATATTCTTTCTTTATTCTGTATGTGTAGTGTTTTGGTTATTTTGTTACATGGGTAATTTCTTCTCTAACCCTTCTATTTAGTGTTTTGTACTTTATATTTTGATGTTTCTTATGCCTTGATGAGCATTTCATTCTGTAGGCTGAAGAAATTTTCTTCTATGATTTTATTGAAAATATTTTCTATACCTTTTACCTGGGTTTCTTATCCTTCCTCTATTCCTATTATTCTTAGATTTGGTCTTGTTATAGTGTCCCAGACTTCCTGGATGTTTTTGTTAAGAGCTTTTTGTTTTAGATTCAATGTTTTCTTTGAATTATTCACTTGTTCTCTTTTGTCTTCATGATTGAGATTCTCTTTTCTATCTCTTGTATTCTATTGGTGAGGTTTGACTTTGAGTTTCTTGTTCAAGTTCCTCATTTTTCATCCCCAGTTTTCCTTCAGTTTGAGTTTTTTATTGATTCTTTTTCTACTTGTAAGAACTAAAGTGTTTTCTTCATTTCATTCAGCTGTTTGTGTTTTCACAGATGTCTATAAGGGACTTATTCATTTACTCTTTAAGTATCTATAAAATATTTATAAAGGCTAATTTGAAATCCTTCTCTTTAGTTCTGTATTTCCCAGGGCCTGCTATGTTGGGATTGTTGTGTTTTAGTAGAGACATATTGTCCTGGCTGTTATTGGTTGTATTTTAATGGTGGTGGCTAGACATCTGGGTTTGGGATGATTGTCATTCTAGGTGTAAATCTGGTCTTGTCTTTGTTAGGGGGGTGTTCTTTTCCTTTGTTTCCATTGCCCTTCTGGTTCCTAGGAGAGTGTAGTGTGTATGAGCCTACTTCCATGTATTGTCACTGGGGATTCTGGTTTGAATGTGTTTCCTATACTGGGAGCTGACACTTAGGTATGTAGATGGACTTGTGGGGGGGCGCTGAGGAGGTCCTCAGAAGGTAGGTGTGACCCAATATCTGCTTATTTTCTGAGACAAAGGAGGAGTGAGGAAGGCTGTAGGAAAAGATATTCATGATCTTCTAAGGACTGGGGCAGAAAGGAAGTTGAATTGGCAGCCAGTGGTCTTCTACAGATTTATAGATGAGACTGGGCATTTGGATACAGATGATGGAGGCAAAATGATGGTCTGAAGATCACCTGCAGGCTTATCTGGTTGGCTTAGATGTAAGTTTTCTAGGGAGGGCCTGCGAAAGTTGAAGTCTGAGACAAAGGAAAGGGGTGGTGAGGGAGGCTGTATGAGAAAACCAATACTCGAAAAGTATTCAAAATCCTTAGCCAATTAAAACTGCTGAGAGATTCCAAATTAAGTTGGTCAGAATGGTTAGCATAAGAAACAAGAACACCTAATGGAGAGAGTATGGGGTAGAAGGGCCTTTATTTACTGTTGATGGAGTATCAAGTGATACAACCGCTGTAGAAATCAGTAATAAGGTTTCTTATAGAGAAAGAGAGACAGAGACAGAGAGAGAATACCTAGAAAATTATACTACAGCTTCGTCTCTACTAATCTTTGATGCACAGAAAACTTGCACATCCACTTGTTACATGTACACTATGACCAGAAAACAAAACCAGTTTACATCAATGCATGAGTGAAGAAAATAGGGCAAATTATTGGAGTTTTATTTACTAAATGGTTAAAATGTATCAGTTGTTTAGAATTGTTCAAACTAATTTAAAGTCAGTCTTTAAAAATAACTTTTAAAATGTTTAAACATAATTTTATTACAGACTCTCCCTAGTTTACAAAAGAAAAATTTATATATATATATATATATATATATATATATATATATATATATATATATATTTGCAAGCAGAGGTGTGTTGTTAGGTAGCACTACTAAAAGGGAAGTATTCAGTTTTCATTTTAATATTACAGTAAATTTCTGACTGAGGAGAGTTAAGAAATGGTCTCATTAAAGAAGCATGTGTGATTATCCAGTTGTTGCAGTAGGAGGAAGGTTTGAGAAAAAGAAATTGCTCCTTCCTGGCCGAGCTATTGTTCTGTCCAAACTCTCCAAGGTCACATTAACCTACAACTGTCAAAAGTGTTGTCATTAAGGCTTAAATAGGCTTAACTGAGTTACCTTCCTACAAAAGACGTTTTACTGAAAACCAGAGCATCCAATAAGTACATTTTCTGCTTGGTCTTTACAGGCAGTCTGGAAGTAAAGTAAAATACATAAAAAATTTCAAAATAATTCTTTTCAGTAAAATGTTAATATTGTGCTACTTAACTTGGCTGCATAATATCCAATAATAATTACTTAAAATGCTAAAAATATATAATTAAATGTATGCAATGAAATCTATTTTAAGATATTAAGCCAAAGATATGTGATAGTATAAAATGATCATTTATTAATAAATTCGAATTTATGAATACTTTTGAATTTGAATTTTTGGTTATAATTATCCAAAATATAATATACCCCAAGAGAATAAACACTTGTGTGCACAGATTTATAAACCTTTCAAATGAGGACAATTTCAAAATTTAAAAATAAGAGTTAATTTTTATATGGTGTCTTTTAATATAATTTTATTAATATACAAACGATTCTAGATTAAATTTTTATCTACTATGTAGTGTTACAGATTGTCATAATTTCATTTATCATTGTTTAAAATCATACAAATATCATTTTACATAGTTACCATGAACTGTAGTCTAAATCTTTTAAATGGGCTTAAAATTTGCATTTTCTGAAAATATGCATTATAGCAATTCTCACCTATTCATATTTTATTATTTGGAACATCCTTATACCTTACATTTTCCATGTCATTCTTCTATTTCTGTTCCTTGAGATTATTTAAAATATTATCACCTGGGAGGCTACCTGGAAAACAGGACCCCAAGAAAGACACAGAGATCGCCCAATGACGGAGAAATGGCTGAGATCTACATGAACAACCTGGACATGAGTGGGATTAATGAAGGGCGAGGGTCGAGGGAAAGAAAGCCTGGGGGAGCGGGAGATACCAGCTAGACCAAGAACAAAGAGGGAGAACAAGGAATAGGAGACCATGGTAAATGAAGACCACATGAGAAAAGAAAGAAGCAAAGTGCTAGAGAGGCCCACAGAAATCCACAAAGATGCCCCCACAATAGACTGCTGGCAATGGTTGAGAGACAGCCGGGACTGACCTACTCTGGTGATGGGATGTCCAAATACCCTAATAGTCGTGCCAGAAACCCCATCCAACGACTAAGGGATCTGGATGCAGAGATCCACGGCTAGGCCCTGGGTGTAGCTCCGAGAGTCTAATTAGTGAGAAAAGGAGGGTTTATAAAATATTATCAAAATAAGAACATATTGGCATACAGAAAGCTAACATTAGAAGAATTAAAATTAATCTAGTATCCTTTCGCTATTTAATATTTTACACATAATGTATATTTATTTTCAATTTGCAGACTATAATATTTTCTATTTTATGTGGACTTCTTGACTAAACATTTACATAATGTGCCATAATTTGACATATCAAAATCACAGCAAGTATTTTTTTTGTTTTTTACATGATTTTTTTAATTATAATTACTTAATCTCTTCCTTCCCTTTCCTTCCAGAAAGCCCTTCCAATATGCCCTTTCTTCCTTGCTTTCAAATTCATGGCTTCTTCTCTCAATGTGACATTTTTATTTTCACTTCCTATTGCAAGAATGCAGTGCTATGCAGATAAAATGTACAGGAATTACAGAAATAGTACGTAATCTAGTTTCCTACTCTTTAAGACTCCTGTGATGTTGGAAAAAATATGCAGTGAAGGTGAAAATGCGCTATTAAAGACATAATTTAGTTCTTAGGCATGGTTTTTCTGAATAAGTTACATGATATGAGAACAAATGATTTAAGCCTATGGGTCATTGAGATAAACATAAAGGTAAGGGTGGAGCAACCAGAAACTTCTTAACAAGACACATGTCTTGGTTAGGTATGACCCTGTGTCTGCTATTTTGTGTTTGTTTTGCTACAATAGAAATATATCACTTGGCAGTTACTGTTTATTCTGTAGGTCAAGGGCTGGATATTAAGCACTTGGCTTCAAACTGATTGCAGCCTCTGAGCCTCTGGTTCAGTTTCCAAGATGGGGAGAACCTCTCCTTACTCTGTCTTTCACAGATCTTGTGACAGAGCCATTCATGTTTTTTTTTTGTTTGTTTTTGTTTTTGTTTTTGTTTCTCATAAATCCCAGGTGCACCTACAAGTGCTCTAAGAGCTGGTCCGGTGTAGTGCTTTAGTGACTCAGGTCAGATTAATGCGCTGCATATCACTCATGTCCATGATTGAGCAGTGGCTGGATTGGTTGTTTGTTTGTTTGTTTAGACAATGTTTCACTGTTTAGTCCAGGCTGACCTTGGACTCAGGCTCTGCCTTTATTAGTCTCTTGAGTGTGGGAGTGCTAATGGATTGCTTGACTCGTGGATTGTTTTTTGAAGAAATTTAGCCAGACATCAAAGAGAGAAATGGTATGTGTTGCATCCACTTCTCTGGCAGTGTGTTACTGCTGGCTACTCCTAGCTTCTTCCGAGAGGCATAGCAATTAAGAATCTAGCACCAGCTGTCTGGTCATTGGGTAATGTTTCAGAACTCCTTCACAACTGAGTCTACTGGACAGTTGAATATGTCACTAAATTGAACCTGATAGTGATTTTATATCACAAGGATCCACACTTTCCCATGAATAACAATCTTTACTCTAGCTTACATATCATTCAACTGTGTACCAAAGACCCGTGCTGGAAATGTAGTGGCAATAGGTGAGAGGGATGCCTAGTAAGAAGGTGGTTAATTCAAGAAGACATTGCACTTGGAAACAATTCATTTTCATTTAAGGGAGTGAATTGTTTCTCTTGAGTATGGTTGGTTGCAAAACAAGTTCAACTATTCTCCCTTGCTCCGTTCCCTCTACTATCTTGTCATGCAATCTTTTCCATACTCGTCTATAAGAAGGACATATACTAACTTGGTATATAGGTTATATGTCCTAATTGGAATAGAGAACTTGTCATCTCCAGAACTGTTTTCAGATCCTGTAAGATAACAATTATGGAAATTTAACCTAAGACATTTGTGAAAGAGACAGTTCTGGTCTTATAATTGTGTCCTTGAAAGTCATGTTCCTATTATGTGACAAACCAGAGTAATTCAGCATGTTGAACCTTTATATCTTTATACTTTACCAGAGTTAAAGAATTTTACTTTAAAAAATTATCTTCAGATTCCAACCTCACTTGAAAAATACAACCACCTTAGGTCCAGTAATTGCTTTGTAGATATATTCATTTTAACTGGGCTCAAAAATTCTGTATGTAATGGTGTCTAATGGTCTCCATCCATGACAAAAAGAAGTTTCCTAATGAGAGGTGATGCCTACTATGAGTATAAGGACAAATATTTAGGATTTAGTTAGGGATTATGTGGGTAGAATAAAATGGCAGTTAGAAGTTTTTCTTCTTAGATTTGTTAGTTTATTTTTTAGTAGTTGGTTAGATTCTCAGTATCAGGTTAAGAGTTATCTTTTGTTGAATGGCTCTTAAGTCCAATTTGAGAGCATAGGACACTGCCAGGCAGTATGTACCAGTACTGTACTCTTGGGGTTATGATGCTTTGCCAGTGGTTGTTATCATTCATAGGTGGCATAGCTGAGTAGATTGCTGGATGTTTCCCTTCTTTGAAAACTCCCATGATGCCTTCTGGTATTGTGAAAACTACAAAAATTCTCCCACATCTAAGGTTCAGGGAACATTGGGAAAGGGGGCAGAAAGATTGTAAGAGCCAAAAGATGAGGGAGTTTGCTGTGAGATTGTGTCTCTAAGTACTGTGAGATGCTACAACCATAAAGTCTCAAAGGCATGACTTCCTCTTAAGACAGGCATGAGCTGAATAAGTACAGTAATGATAGATGTGCCAAAGTAGACTGAGAAAATCCATGAGGGGTCATCCTACACAAAGAATTAAAGTCAACTAAAAAATGCTGAGGGTGGAATAGTCTTACCCAGAGAAGAGCACACAAATTGATTATTCAAACTATCATCCTCAAAACATACACTCAAGTAACTTTACACAGAATAGGTAGTATTTGTATTATATATATATATATATATATATATATATATATATATATATATATATATATATATATGTAGTGTTATACAAATTGAGCATTATGTATTTAGGAATGTGTTTGTATAGACATATACATATGTGTATGTAACAAAAATTAATGAAAAAGAGGTCATGTATCTTAAAAAGAGCAAAGGAGTGTGCCTGGGAGGGTTTTCAGGGAGGAAATCGAAAAGGGTAAATGTTATAATTATATTGTAACATCAAAAAATAAGAAAAGATTTTTAAAAGACTGTTAAAAATGAAATAATTAGTTAATTTAGTAAATAGACACTGTAATCATTAATCCCAAACCATTCTTAGTATTTTAGGTAAATTGTTGTTGTTGTTGTTGTTAAAATCTTGAAAAATAGCCATCTCCACTGCCACTTGGCGCCATGGTGTCATCTGGGCCCAGGCTGCTGCAGAGGGGCATGTCTGCGTCCCTAACGCTATAGAAGCCAGGGTCCGTACTGACGTATGTGACTCCTATTGCCACTGAGTGCCATGAGGATGCCCAGGGTCAGGTCAGCCACCTGAGACCAGGATATATCCAGATTTGAGTGGTCTGCACTACTACTCAACACCATGGTTACCTCTGGGCCAGAGCTGAAGCTGAAGGACATGTCAGGGTTCGTGGTCCTATTGCAGCCAAGGTCTGTGCACCTGTTACCATTGAAGGATGTGCAGACACCCAAGATCGAGGGCCATGTTGATGTTTTAGGGCCATACTGCTGCTGGGGCACTGGTGACACCCAGTCCTAGCCACTGTGGAGGACCATATCTGGGTCCATGATTCTACAGTGCCTGGGGTGTGTGTTGAAGTCCTAGTCCTGTATTGCCACCAAAGGTCACATGGAGGTCCAAGGTTAGAGCCACAACCATTCCCACCTGAGTGGCCAGTCTTCCTACCCAGAGCCACAATGTTGACCATACCCAAGCTGCTGCCGAGGGCCATGTTTGGGTCCGTGGTCCAGTTACAACTGGGGTCTGTGTGGATGTCTCTGGTCGGTTTCATCTCAGAAGACCTTGGGAACCATATAAGATGAAATCAGAGGGCTATGCTGAGCTGGCCATGCCCTTCACTGGCCCTGAGAAAGCTGGTCTTTCCTCTCACTGGACATTATAGCCAGAGAGATGGTCCCTGCATGCTGGAGAGATGGCCTCCAGTCAGGCCAGTGTGAACCAACTCTGAGGGCATGCATGTCAGGGAACTGAATCGGTGAGTGGCCCCAGGGGCCTGGGCTAATCAGCTTAGCAACATCCAGGCTCACAGCTGATCCATCCTAGCATCTAGGACCTACTGGAGCTAGTGAAGGGACTGATCCTGTGGAAGGATACTTGAAAGATCTCTAAGACTCATGGCAGCCACAGGATAGCCCGATGAGTTCCGATGAGGACCCAGTGAGGACGATGTACCAGACACCAGAGGCCTTGAACCAGACCAGTCACTCATTGCAATAAACACCTATAAAAAAGACAAGCCAAAGAGGTATCCTACATGGTAGATGGACGCCTCCACTGCCTCCAGGATGAATGAAGAGGCGTTGGAGAAGCGGGAAAGAAGGAGAAGCAAAGAGATTTTTCTGTTGAAGTGATGTTGTTTTTGTTTTTGTTTGCTTGCTTGCATACTTTGATTTCTTTCCTTATGTGGGGGGAAGGGGCTTGGCAGGGATGAGCAGAGGATATGGGGGGAAATGGGAGGTGAACAGAATTAGGGTACATGATGTGAAATTCCCAAAGAGTCAATAGAGAAGTTAAAGAAATAAATAAAATAGCCATCAGTCTACAGAGATGGCTCATAATTAATAGCACTTACTGAGACTGTAGATGACCCAGCTCCAGTTCCTACATCCACATACTGCCTCACAACAACCTATAATGCCAGTTCCACGGTATTAATGACCATTTCTCACGTTTACAACAAACACAAATATAGGGCACAGTCATGCATGCAGGCAACCATTCATACACAGAAAACAAATCTAAAATTCCTATG